CTTCAGGAGGGATGTGGACAACATGGAGAGGGTCCAGAGGGGGGTCACTTGCATGATCAGGGGGCAGCAGGGCAGGCCCTACGAGGAGAGGGTAAGGGACCTGAACCTGTTCAGCCTTCACAAGAGAAGACTGAGGCGGGGATCTAGTGGCTATTTACAAACTAGTCAGGTGGGACCAGCAGGCACTGGGGGAGTCCCTCTTCCCCCGAGCACTCCCAGGAGTGACTAGAAACAACGGACACAAGCTAGCGGAGGGTAGATTCAGGCTAGACATTAGGAGGTGCTACTTCACGGTCAGGGCGGCTAGGATCTGGAACCAACTTCCAAGACAGGTGGTGCTGGCTCCTACCTTGGGGGTCTTTAAAGGAAAGCTAGATGAACACCTGGCTGGAGGCATTTGACCCTTTCCTGCCACGGCAGGGGGTCAGACTTTATGATCTGCTCAGGTCCCTTCTGACCCTACCAACTATGAAACTATGAAAATTTATAGGCCTGTGTGTGCCAATTGTGTTGTGTTATCATAGCATTATTTTGCTAAAAATTAACTTAAAGTCACTGGGAATGGAGTTGGGATCCCCAGTTCTGGGATGACCCCTGGCTTTACAAGGTCCTTAAAACAAATACCTGTTGATTAAGAACGTAAGTAGTTCACTTGTTTGAGTGTACTGATGACTAGGAACTACTTATCAGATTTAGGATATTTTCATCCTTAACAGATACTATCCCAGCAGGTTGCAGGGCTTGGAGCAAAGCAGTCTGCATGCCTACCTCCCATCCCATGGCACACTTACACCAGGGAGTGAAAGCCCCAGAACGCTAGACATGATGGGATGGGTAGTGGCTGGAACTTCTGGCCCGAACAGGCAAAGAGCCGTCCAAGCCGCTGGGCGGGTGGGTTAACTTTAGGTGCAGCCTCTCTGCCCAGCTCTGCGGGGCCCCCAAAGTGTGGGGCCCGGGGTGCTTGCCCTGATTTGACTCCCCCCCTGAGATGGCCCTGATCCTTAAGCATTTATTGAACTGGGGCCCTACTGCTGGCTTCAGTGGCTATTTTTAACTCCTCCTGCTTCCCTAGAAGAAATACTTGGATCCATAGGAGTTAGCAATGAAGACTCACGGGCCGCATCCAAACATGCAGGGGTGTGCAGTTTGTGGCACCACAAGCCACACATGGCAAATGTTAAAATGTGCCCTGCACTGCAAATTCGCAGTGCAGGGCCAAAAATTGCTTTCAGGATTTCCCAGTAGTAATTTCCCCGGCCCCTAAAACCCCATGAACTCGCAAGAAGAGTGTGCTGGCACACATGGGTGGCCAGGCCATCCAGAGCAGCACTCTGGCTTCCAGCCAGGCCTCCATGCTGCCTGACTTGTGCTCCTGCTACTCCAGGTAAGACTGCTGGGGCCAGCATGGGTGTTGTCCCCAGTAGCAGCCTCCAGCTCTCCCTGGCTCAAGCGTGGGGAGGAGCTGGGTAAGGACAGTTTGCCCATTGTGGGACAATTTGTCATGCAATGAAGTGCACGTGCAGGGGTGTGTGCTGTGGCAATTTGTGCCACTGCAAACACATGCCCCTGCATGTCTGGACACAGCCTAGGAGTCTTCTTCCATTCCAGCTTTCCATCTTATCTAGCTGTACCCTTTCTCTTCCCCCTGCCACACACATCCTAAGACCACAAATTATGGCCCCTTATCTTCTGCATGAGGAAATCTGATTTTTCAGAGCCAGTCAGTTCTCCTTAACTGACTGACTTCAGAGACTCTGTCCTTTCAGAGACAGGCTCGGTTGCCCCTCCAGTGTTCCCCGAAGGTCTGACTCCATTAATTAAACAACTGGAGGTAGTGATAAAAATACATTGAAGAGATTTCAAAGGTTGCATTTTTACTTTGATGATGCCAGCAATAATGTCGTGGCACATTACTTTTTAGGAGTTGCAACGAATGTTGTTTATAAAATTCTCCACAAAAGGTTTAAAAACTAAAAAGCCCCATCCTACAACATTTCCTTAGCTTCAGTAGGTGTTTGGTCTGAGTGAGGACTGCATTTTTTTTTTCTTCTCAGGGAGATCTTTAGATAGTGGAATAAAACAGTGGTAACAGCGTCTTAATATTCCTGAGCAGATGCATTTGGGAGAAGAGGAACACCTGCTAACATTTAAAATAGGGTGCCAGGTGCTCTTGGAATCTAAAAATCTTCTCTGTTTTTAGAGTCTTTAATATCCACCTAGTGCATATTCAGCTACAGGCAGCAGGAACTGCAAGTGCCAAAAAAGGTTATTATTCTGGGGCTGACAAGGCATTTTGCCAGTGACAGCTAAAAAGAAATAACACTTCATACAACAGCCCCACACTGATACTAAATTTATAGCGAATATAAAAAATATTTGTTTAGCTCATTGAATGAAGTTAATATCACTTCTCCACCTGTCCTACCCTTATTGATTCTTAAATTAAGTTTCTTTTTTTAAATAGCTTTTGAAGATTTAAAGATGTCTCTCCTATTTCAGTCATTATCTTTTTGAGTTGTAATTGCCCAGACTTATTTCTCTCTCCTGTAAGCTGAGGGGTTCTCATAATAGAAACAAGCACCACTCTGTGGGTCAGAGAGCAGAAAATAAGAAAGGCTTCCTCTTGGCAGAATCATATTTTATTCCACAGGGAGACAACATTTCTTTGCAAAACACTCCTCTGACTTTAAAATAATACATAATAACTGTAAAATTACCAAATGTCAGGTAAACAAAAAGTTATTAAGGATGACCTTATTAGTTCTATCTGCAATTCACAGAGCGAGGTAATTGTCAAGTCTCTCTGTTATTAGGTTGAAATAATAGTTTGGGGACCATCAACATTAAAATTTCATTATGATGGGACAAAAAGGCTCATGTATAATCAATAGTAAGAATCCATTATTATTGACTTGGAATGAATGAAGCATGAACACATTTGTGCAGATATGAACAGTTAGCAATCTTTTGAATAATAAAGAATTAACACTACACAGATAATGTCGTTCTGGGAATCGGACTCTACCTTAAATTGGTACATGCCTCTGTTATAAAGTCTGATTCATGTCCCTTGATAACTTCTATTAAGCTGTTTCTCAAATGTATTCGTCACATTTGGATTGCAAGTGAGGCAAATGAGGGGGCAGCCTCACTAGTTTGGGGGGTGCTTCTAGAAAGAGTGGTGCTGTTTATGACTGAGTCCAAATTCAGCAATGGCCCTATGGCACTGGGTACACTGAGAAGGCTAACTATGCTTTGACATTAAATAAAATAAATAAATAAAAAGAGAGAGATTGGATGTCAGGGTTTCAATGATCATTTTCTGCCTGACTGATATTGAGGGTGGGACTACAGCCAGGTCCTTTCTTTGTCTATTGAAGCATATGTGAAGGAACAAAATACCAGTAGTTAGGGGATGCAGGACAGCAAATGATGGAAAAGGGAGTAGAGCCTGTGGAATTCCTGAAGATCCTGCTAAACCCTGAGCATCATGTACAGAAGAGGAGGTAACATTGTACATGAGAGCTGCTGAGACTGCAGTGGGAATAGCCTCTCTTTTTGCGTCATCATGTGACGTGTCACATTAGCATTATAATTGCGTAACATTTACTTGCCATTACAGGAAGGGGAAGAGAGATCTAATGGTTCAGCTATAATGTGTCAAATCTGTAAAGTTTTATTTTTTCACTCCCATTTGTAAAAGTACCTATTAAAAAAAGGTGTCTCTAAGTAGATGCAATTTAAAGGTCTGTTAGCTTTGCTTGTACACTGATTAGAAGAGTAACAGTCTAGTAAGAGCTGATAATTGTCTGGTGGCTTTCTGCGGCCATGTTGGATGCTCTTCAGAACATGCTATGATTGGACTGATTTACTTTTGACCAGCTCCCTAAACTCCTGTCTACTGGGGTCTGTATCTCACTGCCAAGAGACCTAAAGAAGTTTGAATCTGAGGCCCCTGCCACATGCTACACTTAAGACATCGTTAACCAGTTAAGCTGTGACCCAGCCACATGTTCAATCTATTAATGGCATGATAAAAGGAGAAATAAACCACACAGTTATTCCACAAAAAAGTGCAATAATTTTGTGGCTGGTTCCTGTGACACCATCAAGTGAGTGTGTGGCTAGATGCATCCCTGCAGCTGGGAGCCCAGGTCAGCTGATGGGGGGGTGGGAGTGGTCATAGCTGTGGGAGCTCACCATGTGCCCCCGAGTCTGCAGCTGATGGGATTCCCAGGCATGGGGATGCACCATGCATTCCTGTGGCAGGGAGTCCCATCAGCTGATGGGACTCCCAGCTGAGGGGGCATATGATACCATCACACTTTATTGCTAGTATGGGGTGAGCATCTGATGAGTGATCCCAGAACCACTATTCATTCCATGCCCATGTACCATGGCAGGAAGCTCGATTGTGTGGATCACACAGTCAAATCCTGCAGATCTGGACGGGGCTGAGTGACTACCTATTCTAAGTCACCTTTTTATTTTGATATTTTGCCTTTAAGAAGAAAGAGTTGCTATAAGGCTAGTTCTAATCCTTAACCATTCTTAACCTACCTACCTAACCATTTACATGTCTGCTGTAGAGGCTGTTACCACAGGCAACTGGTAGTGGGGGCATGTACCCCCCCCCCCAAACTGGGCCATCCTGCACTACTGACACCACCGGTGGCTTCTGTGGGTGTTTACCAGCTCCGTCCTCACTGCTGATGCTGCTGGTGGCTTCTGTGGGTGCTTGCCAGCTCTGTCCCCACTGCTGATGCTGGTGGCAGCTTCTGTGAGTGCTTGCTAGACCCGTTCCCACCGCTGCTGGCGGCTTCTGCAGGTGCCCCCCCCAGACTCAGCAGGCACCAGTCATCCATGGCTGTTACATCATACATAATCCCTTAATAAAAGACCTAGTTGGACCTCTTAGAAACTCTCAATCTTAAACTCCCAGGTTCCAGCCACCGTACTTTTACTAGAGGCAAGACACTCCTTCAGGGGATGAATACACACCCTCATAGCACTCCCTGCACTTGCCATCCTGGAAAGTGAAAGACTTAAAGCAGTCTCCTTTTGAAGCCTTGGGCAGCTCCCACTCCTATTTCATCCAGTGGTGTTTGGCCACCACTCAAGCAGTGCCGCTGGGAAGAAAAGCACAGATCTAGGGCTGACAAGCATTACCCTTCTTTGACAGACAGAGGGGAATGAAAGTGCTATCTGCTGATGACATGTACCTTGACAGCACCCAGTGCAGCCTATTGGTATGGACAGAAGCATGGGGAGAGAGGATATTCCTTTTCCAACTTTTAGCAAGTGGGGAACAACTGTGTATCTCTTTTTTCCCCTTCCTTGGCATGGTTAAGAGTTGAATAATTGATAGGAAAAGGAATCTAGTTGGTGACGTGCTGTGGTAATATTCTATGCCATAATATACCCTTCTCTAGGGCAGGTGGTTGATGTAACAGAAGAATGAGGTGTCTTCACTGATGGAGAGTGAAGCAGAAAAGTTTGAGCATTTGTGGCTTATCCAGAACACGGGTCACTTTCCCAACTAATTTTTTGCAGTTAATCTATGATGTAAGTGTTTGGCATTTGCTTTACCTGCCTGAGGTAGGAAATAAAGGACAGAGTCATTTTAAATTTATGAAAATATGAAAAAGGACAGAATTTTTTTGATTTTTTTTTTCTATAAAGCATATTTGAAACTAAAGTTCTTCAGGTTTTTCTTTCTTTCTTTTTTTTTTTTTTTAAGTAAGAGGTGCATGCAGGGCACACAAAAAGATTAAAAAGGTTCTAAGGAGTATATACTACAAATCAATGAACAAGTTGTTCAGAACAGCACTAACAATGACTATAACTGAGCATATATAAATCTGAGGAGGAAACCTTTTTTTTTCTCATCTTGTCAAATCCCCTGCTGATTTATAAAATAGACAAACCAGTTGCCAGAAAAATCATCAAAGTATGCCCAGGAATTATACAGTAGTTTAAAAATGCATTGCTATTGTAGCCACAACACAGTATTAATCACAGATACAGCTCCATAATTATAATTGTTGAACATAATTCCCCAAAACTAAATCTGCTACTTTATTAGATTGAGTGATCACTGCAGAGTTTCTCTCTACCCGGAAAAATCCTATTTTTCTCCCACTGAGTTGCCTCAGTCTGTTTTCCTTTTAGTGGCAAAACTAATTTGAAGTAATCCATTTCAAAGCTTATTTCTTTAGCATAACTAAGTTCTCAGTTAAGAAGATGCATTTTTAAACTCCTAGTCTCCTGAATTATTTTTCATATTTAAAGCAAGCAAACATGTGTTGTAAAACTTTCAGATCTCCTCTTGTGCTTCCTCTGGGTGCCTGCTTCCCTGCTGTGATGTTTGATCCCTGTTGACTTCTCTGTGAATGTTTGTTTGCATTAGTATGGGAAAGATCTCCGTGTACCATTATCAAGAGCAGGTAATCTCTAGGAAGAGGCATGCATACTTGAATTCTTTACATGGGCAAATATATTTTAGTTTTGCCTTTTTTGTAATCTATTTTACAAATGTTCAGGCACATGATGAAGATATAATGCTTGGCATAAAAATGTAATGTTTCAAGTAAAAGCATTTACTTGTAGGTCATAATTGTTTTTAAGTACTATATATAAAGGGGGTAAAAGCAATGCAATTTACAGTAGTTTCAACCATGAGAATATTTTTGTTCATAAACTATATTTCAGTTCTAAACCGTTATAAATACCCATGAGACAATGAATTTGCACACATACATTTTAAAATCTGTTTTTCTTTTCTTGCCATCTCCCTCCCCGCCCTGCTTTTTTTCTTGTGGATTCTTGCCTTCATTGTCCCATACCTTGTTTTCTGCCACCTTGCCATGACTGCCCCTAACCAGGGGTTATACAGATGAGGTGGGGGTTTTTTCCCCTCCCTTTCTTCTTGCCATGTGATTACTTACCTTTACACCCTAAGTGCTGCCACTCTGTGAAACAGATGTGAAGAGAAGCTCAGCTCAAGCTCCTCTTCTGAATGAGATGAGAACCTAATTAGAAGCCAGTGAAAAGCTCCACTTTCCAAACTAAATGGACTTCAGGTTGAATTTTTTGGACTGGATGACAGGAGATTCTTTTTGTAAGAAAGCATCTCTTTCAAGAAGCAGCTGGTACATTTTGTAAAGCACACCATACCCAGGAGCACAGGGTCTGGGGCAGGGGTAGGCCAAATATGGCTTGCAGACTGGATCCGGCCCACTAACTGATTGGATCTGGCCTGCAGGTGGGCACCTGCCAATTGACTGGATATGCCCTGCAGCTGTCCCTGCAGTGCTCCACATGGAGCTCAGCCCGCATCGTGCTCCTGCCCATTCCTGCTGGTCCTGGCCCAGCCTCAGCCTCAGCCCCAGCCTCAGCCCCAGCCCCAGCCTCAGCCCCAGCCCCAGCCCCAGCCAGCATGCAGTTTCCCAGTGGGACTGTTCCTGGTCTGGCTGCAGCTGCCCAGATGCTGTTTGGCTCCCCCACCTCCAGCTGCTCCTCATCCTCTTTCTGCCCCTGCTGTACCACTCCAGGTGGGGGGAAGCTGTAGCCAGGTGGCTTCTGCCCCAGTGTGTGGGGCTCCAGCTCCTGGCCACTTTCCACCCACTCTGCCTGCCTGGCAGGATGAGCAGCCACCTGTGGCTGGCTGAATGTCTGGAAAGAAGCTAGGAGCTTGAGCAGGATCTCTGCACACGGGGGCAGGAGCTGCCCTGCTGCAACTTTCCCCCACCTGGAGCAGAGCAGCAGGGACCAGAATAGGACCTGCTGGAGATGGGGGTAGCCGACCAATACCCAGATGGCTGCAGCTGCATGGGGAGCAGCCCTGCTGGGAAGCTCTGCGCACCGGCTGGAGCCGGAGCCAGTGGGAATAGGTGGAAGCGCAGTGCAGGCTGCCGAGGGTGGGAACAGGAGGGGCTTGGCCCCATGCAGAGTGCTGTGGGAGCAGCCACAGGCTGGATAGGGGGAATAAACCCCACCTGCATTGTGCACCCCAGTGAGCTAGTTGTATGTGCCCCCTGCTCCCCACCTCCATCTCTCCCACTCCTGGCTGGCTCCTGGGACCTAGTGCATGGGCAACCTCCCACACATGTGCACACCTCCCTTATCCCCCCACAAACAGAATATACAAGAGTAAGACTTTATTTTGTGCTATTATGCAATCATCTTTATATATGCTACTCAAACGTAAACCAGGACAAAAATATTCTTTGAAATAAAATTAAAATATGGTGGAGTAGATTTTTTTTAGTACACAATTTGTTAAAATGATGTCTTCTAAAAGATTTAATGTGTGTACTCCTTGACTGCTCACCAAAACTCATTAAGTGGCCCTCCAGCCAAAATAATTGCCCATCCATGGTCTGGGGTTTCTCTTGAAACCTGTCTCCCAAGCCAAGCCCAAGAATATTATCCATTCCTGTGTAATGCCAAGGTATTTCTCAGCATCATTAAGAGTGTGCACTTTATTCTCTCTTTGTCACGTATGATGAAACCAGTGGAGATCCATTTTTTGCGCTGCCACACCAATATCCTGAATGCTGATCAGCTGGATATCTGTATAACCTGCACAAAATGTACCGGCCACTTTTTTACTGCAAAGTGTGTTCTAGTTTTCATGTTGTTAAATATTTTGTTTTAATTTAAACATGATTATGGGTTTTTTTGTTTGTGTCCAATTTGTACAGCATGTATTGTATAATCTTGCTTTCTGTATTTGAGATCTGGTCTCCTCTCCTCTGGGCAGTGTTCTTTTTTTAATCGGCTGAGAGAGAGGCTGGGGGAAGGGCAAGCCCTGATTGGAAAAGCTTGGGTGATATTGTGCCAGGTATATAGAAACCTCTCAGCTAGAACCTGGGGATCTTTCCCTTGGGGATGCTGAGAGCTGGAAAGCTGAATTGAGAGCTGGAGAAATTGCTCCCTGTGGGGTGGTCACCCTCCAGCCCTGCGCTGAAGAAGTGAGTTGGTGCTATGTGAAGGGAAAATCCAAGGTAAAGGGAAAAAGTCTTTCTCAAAGTTTGAGACTCAGCTCCTTTCTCTCTCTTCTTCCTTTTTTCTGAGTTGTGGAGTGGAATAATACCATGGCAGTATTTATCCCTGGAGCTAATTGACCAGAAATGGAGTCCTGGCAGTTGTTGGCCAGGATAGGCTTGCCCCGTTTTGTTGGTTTGCAGCTGTTGTGTCTCCTCTTAACTGTGTAGCTGAGACTGGATGTCCAGGCTGCAGCCAGATAGGCCTGGGTCCCCTTTTATTGTTTCACAGCTGTTGTGTCTTAGCATAGTTGCACAGCTGCAATGAGATGTCCAGGCTCAGCTTGGTGCCCTTTTGTTGCTTGACCCAGGCCACAGTGCAGGTTTGGCCTGGCCCTTTGAATTTTCTTGTAGTTTTCTGCCCCAGCAGAGCTGGGGATTGGGAGTAGGAATTTGGGGGGGGTGAGGTATGTTGACTGAAGCCACAAGTCCACCCCCACCCAAAGTCACTGTGTGGAAATAGAGATCAGTGCCCTACAGCTTCCCAAGAAGCAATTGTGTCCCATGTGATGCGGAAGGACCTGTGGTCTCCACCAGCTCCCCATGATGCAGCAAATTCAAGGAGAAGCTCATAGGACTCCCAGTGTGGGCTCCCTCTCCAGCCCATTGCTGAAGGGCAGGTATAGGGGTGCAGGCCCCCAGAACTACCCTTTGGGGAGCCCCCAAATCCTAGACTGCCTGGCTATGGCTGAAGCCTCCCCAACAGGGTGCAACCTATAGACTATGCCTTGCAGTTGCTAGTATTTTAAATTGCATTTGGGGTTTTCCTTTGTTTTCCTTGCCTTTGTTTTCTGTGATAAATTTGTCTTTTGTATATATGCTGCTTGTGGGGAGGGGTTTTTTATTTATGTGGGACAGCCCAGCCAAATTCAGTAATCACAGATTTCTGGGTGGGGGCTTAAACCACAGTAAAAATTCACTGGATACAGCAAAATTGAACCTGGCCCTTGTTGCTGCCACCTGATACCCGGTGTATTACATGAAATATGAAGTTCTCCACAGATGGAGTAGTACTTAGTTGTGGGAGAGGTAGACTTCCAAAACCCTCCCAAACAGTACAAAACTAGAAGACCTGATTAGCAGTGCTGGAGCTTGTAGATAGTCATTTTTCTTCTGAATCATTATTCAGCAAGTATTTCAACATGATAATGGGGCAGTCTGGGTGTTATAGGTACTGTCCTTTTGGATGGGATATAAAACAGAGGTTCTGAGAACTTAGGGGACCGTGCCTTGGGGCCACCACCTGAGGGGGCCCCTCCCTAAGCTTTGTGGTCAGCAAAGATTTGAAAGTTACAACGTAAGGGAGATTAGCATGACCTGACTCAGCCAGCCAGTTGAGTCAGGCCATACATCTCCACCTGAGGGGGCCCCTTTGGGACCATGCCTGGCCCCCACCCCCCCTTGACTCAGCCGTCTTCCTGTTGGGACATGTTCAGTAACCAGGAAGGGGTGTAGGATTCCTGCTTGATTTCAGGGCATGGACCCGGGAGTGGGGGAGTGGCTTTCAGCTGGCCAGGGGTGGGAATGCAGTAGCTACCCAGGCTGGACACAAAGCTGGTCAGGGCCTGTACTCAGATTGGTTGGCCTCCCCTCCAGACACCTCCAGTAATATGTCTGGAGATAACCATCTGCTGCATAACACTTCTGGCCTCTCTATGGGGAGCAGAGTGCTTCTTGAAATCCTGGCCTTGACTGATAGGCAGCTCCCTGCTTAGCTGAGACCCATCTGATGAGGACATGCCAATACCTAGTGTAGGAGAAGGAGGTATTACACATTTCTTGAATTTGGATGAAAAGAAGTTCTCCCACAATTGATGCTTTCTTTGAATACACTTGATTCTGCAGAGACCTAGAGGTAGCTGAACAGATTACCCTGGGCTGCCTTGGGAGTGCCGCTCCTCATTTCTCTCTCACTTTTTCCCTGTCCTTTGAGAAGGCTAAGAGGAGAGATATGGCAAGGGAGGACAAAGCAATCCTGAACAAAATCTGATTCACTCACTCCGGGGGGGGGGGGAGCGGGTTGCAGCTGGATTTGGGGGCGCCGAGGTCTGCAAACCCAGCTCCCAAAGGTCCTGCATGCAGGATTTTGTAAAGAAAATATTGCATTGGAAAGAAAGCATTGGAAAGAAAATCATTTTTGCAATGCACCTCCCATAACAGTACATCCGGCAAACAAAAAACAAATCAGGAAAAAAACCCTGTTTTGGAGCTGTGGCAGCAGGCGTTAACACCAGCCCCTCACCCCCCTCAGTAACCATGCATATGAAATGAATTATAATGCACTGAAGACTTGCTAAAGTCTTTAACAACTTGCTAAAGGCTAAAGTCCCTGGGAGGTCCATGCATGGAGAAGTTTTGCAGATTGCCTGCTTGCTGCTGGAGGGGGGCATTATTTGGTCTTTGTTTAGTCTTTTTTCTTACAAGACATGCTGGCTGCACCCTAGCTAACACTTTGAAACTCTTTGCAACTCTTTCCAGTAATGCCATGAATCCATAAATGCCCCCCCAAAGCACAGCACTCCCCCCACCACACACACAAAGTTGGTGGGACATATTACCTAAATATTACCTGGGATGCTGCATATCCTGGGCATCGGGTCTGGCAGGCAGCGTCCTGCCCCTGGACTTTTTTTTGTCGTGGTTCTGAAATGGAACATCATGAAGTTCAGAAAGTTTGCAATATTGAAGGAAGTCATGTAACCACTCACTCCAAAGTTTCAAACTACTTACAAAAAACTTACCGTTACGGTGATGCTGCATCTGTTGTCGGGAGCTATGTCCACTGCAGTGGCAGCACATGACGGGGGGCGCGAGGACAGGAGGGTATATGGGTGGGAGGACATACACTATAGGTGACAGGGAGTAGAAAATTAAGGTATTATTGGCCTCCCCCACTTTAAAATAATAATACATTTTTCTGAGTGAACCTATCCTGATCTGACCCTATGGCCACTCCACTGTGTGCTGTGAGGGAGGAGTGAGGAGGGTGAAAAAGAACACCCAGCGCCTCCTACTGGCTAAAGGCTGGAACACAGCGCCCCCTTGTGGTGAAGGGGTTAGTTAGAAGTCTTTGGAGTCTCTGGCTGTTTGCACGAACAAACCCACAGTGTAACTGGAGAGCACCACAAATTAACACATCTCCGAGTAGTGTTAGTTTAAGGTGGTAAATGGACTTTAGAGTGGCAGGACTTCCTGGGTCACACAAACACAGTTGCTTCGGCATAAATGCGAAATATTGTTTTGTCTACACACGCCCCTAGTCATCCAGCATCTATGACATATTTTGCAAAAGTTTGTTGGATTTAGCTTTCTCTTTTTTCCATAGCCTGTCCTGTTGTGTAATGTTACTGCATTTAACAATAAATGCCTGCTCAGTTCCATGCCTGAAGTGGCTGTAATTCAAGGCCTGATGAAGTGATTTATACTTTGTCAGATCATGTGGGATTCTTCATGGTGGAAGACACAATTATGTGAGAAATTATAATTACTAGTATTTGGGGGGTTTTTCACTGTGAGACATTTATCTAGGTTTGTTGATCTAACTTTCACAAGGATTTGAAGATATTCAATTGCAAACATTAAAAATCAAAAGGAATAACCAGCTTACCATTTGTTTTGTAGTCACCTCACTGAAACTGGTTCTGTATGGAGTACTGGACTGAAGCTACTGGACTGACTTAAAAACTAATTCCACGTAGTCTCTGACCAAATCTGAGTTATATGACCTGTGTCTTATTAATGAAATCAAGTCAGCAATAGCTGCCCTGTTTAATGACCTTCAAATGTAGAAAAGGCGTGAGCCGCTGAGAAAAAGAAGTCTGCCAAATTCAAAAACAAATCTGTTTGATTCTGAGAGTGCAAAAAGCATCTTAAAATTTTAAACTTATTTCTTTATCACTTTTATAACACAAAAATGCCAAATGTTTTTCTTTTTTCCTCTTGGGCTAAGGGTTTTTATAGTACACCAAGTTTTGACTTGCGATAGGTAGAAAGCCAATGGGACCCAACCTTACCTTAACAATAAATGCAAAACCTGTCAATTAATCTCTACTGTCATTATCATCACCCCCCCCCGCCTCCCCCAGGAAACCATCAGAATCTACAGATCATTCACAATCTGTTCAAGAATGTGGTACATGTCCTGTGGTGTACCAAATGCCCTCATGGAAACTACAGGGGTGAAACTAGACAAAAGCTATGCACCAGAATGAATGAGCATAGAATAAGGATACAGGGCAGACACTAGAACACAGGTAGGAGAATGTTTTTCACAGGGAAAAAACTGCTCTGTTACTTATCTCTGTCCTTGTGCTCAAGGGAATTCATTAGCTTATGGGATACGAAGAACCAGGGACTTAACACAGACATTGCTTTCATAGCCCATTTACAATCTACTAGATCCCTGCTAATCTCTCTGAACTCCATAGGTGGTAGTGACCCTTTTGAATGGTCTTGCCCTTCCACTTATCAGGTTAACCTTTCTATTGCATTTATTTTGTCTGCTAGCTACCTAATAATATTTATCATCCTGCTTTTATTTAAATATGGAGTTCTGCACAAACCTGTGTTCTATTTGTTACTTAACTCTGCTGTGCCTGGTTTTTGTTCTCAGAGATCTAAGGAAGAGCTGCCTGAAATCTTTTGCATGACCCTCCCTGCTATACAGTTGGTTCAAAAAGATATGACCCACCACAAGCCATGCCTCTCTAAATGTTCAGGAGATACTTCTGCTCACATAAGCATCCAGAAGTTTAGGCCCTTGTTTAAACTTATTCGAGTTGTTTTGACCTGGTAATTGGACTGAAAATCTTATGAGATCTAGACACTTTTCTGGTATTATCCATTTCAAAAACTCTAGGAACATCCTTCCTTGTTCTTCCTCCCCACCCCCCATCAGATATCAGAGAGTGAAGATGAATAATTGTTAAGGAACTTGACTTCAGTGGGATCTGGGTCACAACCAATAAAACAGAAGAGGGAAAGGAGGGAAACCCTTAATTGACTCGGAGTGTTCTTAATCTGGAAAGGTTTGCATCTGGTAAAATGTGAGCATTGGGTTTATATCATCTTTGATTTTATCCAAAATGGTGGGATTCTATAATAACTTCTCAAGCTAGTGGCATCTTGCACATACTGAAATTGCTTACATCCTTCAGATATAATTTCATGAAATGGCTGCTTGTCTGGTAGATAGTCATTCTTACTCTGATTTTTGAACATCATAGGGAGAAGTCATTATGTTATGCAATATATAGAGAGTGCTCAATAATTACATTTTGACAAATATATGCTTCTCATTCACAATCTGTTAAAAATAATTCACCTACCTTAAACTCCTAGTCTCCCTGCTGTGTTATTACTGCATTAGTTAATATATGATCTTCCTATTCTTTATAAACCTGATTTTTGGATACTGTGTTTAGGTGGCTACACATACAAAAATATTTACTACAATTTCATATGTAATTTGTGTGCACAGTTGTCATGGTTGTAGGAGAAAGTCAGACAACTACAGGTGCAAATTTGTCCAAGGTACATTTATTTATGCACATTGGTGAGAGTGAATTGTAAGGTCCCAATAAACCCACACTTACCAGTCATTGTACATGATCATGTCTTTATATTTTGGCTCCCAGTTTATTTTTATATAACTGAAATCTGTTGGTGTTAGCCGTCAGATCCCTTAAAGAGCTCTAGGACTGTTAGGGGGTTTCATGGCATCCTCACTTTAATTTTGTAATAAGATATGTTCTTGTGGTTTCTCCATTTTCACTTATCTCCTTTCTCCCTTCCCTGATCACCTTGCACTCTTCAGATCATGAGTAAGGCCTAAAAGGGCTCTTAGAATTGCCACCTCTCTGTCTGATGACCAATGAAACGGTCTTGGTTTCAATGCTGTGTGGTTGGATTTGATATCTGCCTTTGTTCCATTGAACTGACTGTCTGAATCAGCTGTGTCCGTTAACAGTGGGCTACCTTGTATCGTATTTATTTAAAAAGCATGGGAATATTGTTAACCAAAATAGCAGAATTGGAATACACTCAATCCAAAGAGATTTTTTTTTCTCTGCATTCAAGGCATCAAAATTATTCTTCCATCAAAACATAACAATTGTTATGAATGATATCATAATACTGTGAACTGCTTAAGAGCTTCCACTTTAAAATTGTAATGGGCCATGCAGACAGAAGGGAAAAAAAGGCTAAAAGCATAAATTGAAGATAATCAATGTGAATAGACCTTACCCATTGTGCAGTTTGAATAGGATAAGCACACATTATCTGGCATAATTGGTTCATGTGATTTTCTAATTGAAGAGAAGAAGTAATTAGAGCCTAATTGAACCAAAGTAACACAATGTCTGTCAGCATTTCTCCTTCTACCACACATTATATTATTACCTGTCATCTTTTACTTTGGTTAGATCGAAAAAAAATAAAAAGAAAAAAACATTGTAAAACCTTCAGATTTCTAATAAGCGAAGCAAGGATACAGATAAAAGAGGCTAAAAAAAAGAAGCAAAAAACAAGATTGGGATTAACTACATGAAGTCTATGACCTCTAAGATGTTTTCAAATTGGGAGTGCTCAGTTTGCCTAATTAAAAAATGAGTCACATTTTGCAGAATGATGTTATAAATTTAGGCTGTCCCCCCACCCCGCAAATATTCTTTACTCATGAGTGTGTTCTTCACTGAACTTGTTTTCTAATTAAGGCTCTGTGGAAAGGTGTATAAGCATGGTTGTGGGGGAGAGAGAATATTTGCTGTTTTAGCAGAAAGTTGGGAAATCCCATCCATTCCAGAATCCTAGGCTGAGTGGTATATAATGTCATGTGGTAGCAGGATAGTATTTGGAGCAGAGTTGTATCTCTTTTTTAAAATATTCTTGGTGAATTTCTACAATTAAGGGGAGCAAGAAAACTAACAGGAGAGAAACTCAATAACAATCCTATTGTATGGCCTGTCAGATTTCCTCCCTATCACCATGTACACACACGTTATTGGCCTGTATTGCTCATAAAACATACTGTACTTCTATGCCTTTTGAATACATTTCAGCTGCTTCCAACTCTTGATTCACATTTTGGATTCTGAGCCAAGGGGATGATGTATTTGGGAAATTTTCCAGACTAAAGGGTATATTATCCTCTTGATTACTGTCCTTCCAATTTGTGTGCCTAACTCTCATTAGTGGTAAAGAGAGAACAAAGAGGCTATATAATATATATACACTCCAGAGACATGCGAATTGAGTAATAAATTTCCCATCTACCATGACTCTTGGTTCTGTTCAACACGCAAATTATTTCTGAATATTCGTTGGAAAACATTTAGCTACTGGATATTCTGGAGAACATGTGACAATGTAAGGCCAGGGGAGCAAAGGGAAATTTTCAGGTCTTTGTAACACCAATCCAGAAAAGCTTTACTATTGTGACCTAACCATTTTGCAAACATTCATTGCCTGAATGGGTGTTTAGTTGCTGGAAGGAGTAGTTCCCAAATCTGAAGCCTCTTTGTCATGAAAGCACCACACACTAATAGTTCTTAAAAATAAAAGAGAAAGCAAGGACTCTTTATTTAACACTTCCTGCTTCCTGCAAACTCATGCACATGCAGAAAACATCTAGGTGTTTTACTCTGGATGCACTCTTCATCTGTACTGATGTGCTTCATCTTCTATTTGTTCCTGATCTTAACAAAGTTGTTGAATTCTGTTACCTGGAATCACTGAAACTTAAACAAATGCTTTCCGGTAGTTTAAAAAAATATATAAAATTGCATATCAAATATATA